GTCGGTATAGGTGCTTGGAGTGGCTCGACCAGAATAGGTGCTTGGAGTTGCTCAGTTAGTATTCAACAATTTTTTTATTTTTATTTTTTTATTTTTTATTTTTTTTTTTCCTTTTTCTTTCCCTGGTATGAGCAGGCCTAGAAAGAAGTTCGCCGGTAGCAGAGGGACCGAGCATCGTCTGAGTGGCCAGTCGTTGTGGCTCCCTGAGTATCCCTCCCCCTATGAACATCAGCAGAGACTGCTTCTTAATGCCAATTGGGGGGACCAACGGGCTATCTCTAGGTGGCGGGCGCTAAGCATGCCCAGGAAGGTACATGAGGCCAATTGGGATTAAACCCAAGACCTCCTGAATGCCATTTTTTTTTTTTTAAAGGGCGATGGCCTTGAGGTATTATCATCGGACTAACCAACCCAGGTAAATTCAATCTTGTGTCCAATCTGACAACGGTGGCCTGATAGCCTTAGGGTGGCCTGATAGCCTTCAGGGATCCCCCACTAGGGGGGGCCCGGTGCTAATGGAACGGGCCGCGCAGTAGCACGTGGTAGGGCCAAGCCCTAAGAAGTTGCATTCACCAGATGAATCTCCTCTGGAATATGGCAAGATACAGCACCACATGGAGCCACAGCGATAGGGGAGCTCTCTCCTCGTTGCCACGAGAATCGGGGGAAGGGAATCTAACAACTAAAGAAGAAAAAAAAAAAGAAAAGAAAAAAGAAAAAGAAAGAATACACCTAAAATAGTTACAGGCTGCCCGTAGAAACGGGCGCCTGTCACGAACTCTGGGAGTTGCAGCTTCCAGCTTCTCAAGTAAGGGCCACGTGGCATCGCTTTTTTTCCCTCCCTTTTTAATCTCCCTTTTAGGAACCTTTCTCGATTTATGCCTGTCATCTTTGTGTTGGGGCCGTGCTCATTTCGGTGCAGCCATTTTCGGCTGCACGATCTGACAATCCTACGGTCGCGGCGCTGGCCTGCTTTTCGTTTTTTTCCTAAGGCTTGAGGCCTCGACCGAGATGTCTAGGTACAGCCAGGCTGGCCCATGACCGAGATGTCTACGCCACGGTCTGGTTGGGCCACGGCCAAGATGTTTAGACTACGGCCGGGGTGGGTCACGATCGAGATGTCTAGGTCACGCGTGAAAAAAAAAAAAAAAAAAGCTGCCGAAAATGACGAAAGTGCACGTTTCAATCAGGCCTGGGGCTAGGTCCCACTTGCACGAATTAAGAGATACTGACCGTAGATAGCAAAGATCAACGGCCGAAATCTCCTAATTTGCGCAAGTGGGACCTTGCCCCTGATGTCTGAAACGGCGGCTGATGTTATTTTTGCCTTTTCCCACTGCGGTGGGGATGGACCTGCCCACAGGTGTTTTTTTTGCCTATTGGAAATGTGGGTTGTGACCCACGAGCCGTTTCCCCTTTTTTTTTTTTTTTTGTGTGTGTGTGTGTGTGTGTGTGAGAGAGAGAGATCCCGCACAACAACTTGATCTGTACATGTACCTGGACCCCAGCTGCGACCACAGGTCCATGAGGGCTACCGGTAGTCCAGTGGGGGGAACTGGCAGAGTGGCAAAATTCGAAAATGCATTGAATTACCCCCCCTATTTATTTCGCAATTGAAATGATTTTTTTAAATGTTTTAAAATATTTTTCCTGTAAAGATCATGACCAAATCTATAGACCCTCAAATTTGTAGAGTTGTCGGGTCATCCTTCTGATTGCGAAAAATCGCAAAAGTTTGTTTTTTTTTCTCGTTGGCCCAAACGTGGTGTAGTAAAAATGGTAAAATCGCGAAAGTTTGTTTTTTTTTCCCGTTGGCCCAAACGTGGTAGAGTAGTAAAAATGGAAAATGTGACTAAACAGCGCGGCATTTACTTCACCATTAAATTTGTTTTTTTCATTTTTCTGATATTTTTCCTGGAAAGATCACGGCCTAATCTACAAGATATCAAATTTTCAGATTTTTTTGCCAATTTTTTTGAGCGCGAAAAATCGTCAAAGTTCGCGCTTGAAAATGTTTGGCCCAGACCTGCCTATGCCTGCTGGTCGCCGCCCCCCCTAAGAACCCGGTCGGTAAGGGCAGGAAAGTCCGTTTCAGGCCGGCAGGGGTCACACTGTGCAACGTGAGGGTTCGGACACACAGGCACATCCTGACGTCGGATACATTTCAAAAGACAGCAGTCCCCAAAAACAAACAGGGACCCATTCCACCTGAGTGGTTAGCTCAGGCGGGCAATTGGGTATTTCGAAATCTGTGCGTGGGTTCAAACCCCAACGCGCCCACTGTGGTGAACGAACTTCAAATACTTAATAATAATATAATATAATGTATGTATATATGTATGTATGTGGGCAGGCGTGAGCGAGCGAGCATGGGTGGGCGGGCGAGCGGGCGGACGGGAGTGAGTGAGTGTGGGTGGTGGGAGGGAGTGAGTGCATGTGGGTGGGCACGACTTTTCTTGTTTCCGTGCATGTGGGTGGGCACGACTTTTCTTTTTTCCATTTTCCTGCCCGAGGCCAAAAAAAAGAAAAGAAAACAACCACGAAACAGAAAGAAAAACAAACAAAAAAAGTAAAAAAGAAAATGACCACGATACAAAAAGAAAAACGAAAAAAGTAAGAAACGACGCACCGAAAACGAAAATGCTAAAAAAAAAACGGGCCGGGCCGCGCCGGAAGGAGACAAAACGACACGCCGGAAGGAGGAAAAAAAAACTAAAAGTAAAAAAAGATAAATAACAAATTCCAAAAAGAATACAAATTCAAAAAGAAAAAAGAAAAAAAAGGGGCCGGGCCACAAAACGACACTTTCTTGCTATCCGACGGCGGGCGCGTTCGGATATTGATGCGCATCGACGCCCGCCGTGTACCCGGCCCCGTGGGCGCTCTCTCTCGTTTAGTGGCGCACTGTGAACAATTCGGTACGCGCGCCGCTCTGCACAACACCCCTCCCTCGATCACCTTCATCCGCTGGCCCGAATCAAAACTTCGGGCCGATTCCGGCGCGCAGCGGAACACGACCTCCCCCCCGCGGGCCCACCGCGCTTAAGGGGTAGGATAAATATTTATCAATATTTATATATTTATATTGATAAATATTTATTGAATCCAATATATACTGAATATATTGATTGATATCCGTTTGTATATGTATCTACATATATCTACATATTCAGCCTGATGATGAGTCGGTGAAACTCCAACGAAACAGTTTGTCACATTTGTCACAGCCCCTGGTTTGTTGTCCTCTTCTCCCTCTCTGCCGATGGTGTACCAGGCAGTTGCGTTTGGTGATATATATCTAGATATGGATTATCTATAATGTATTCTATTAAAACAATAAAATAATGATTCGAATTAACGACAAATTTCTAGTTAATTCAAATTATTATTTTGCTGTTTGAATAGAAACATTATAGATTTCTGTGAGCACCCCTCCCCCCCCCCCCCCCC